ATTGTGTGCTAAATAATTTTTTCATCATGATCCATCAATAAAAGAATTATTTTTTTTAAAGAGAAAGGATTATGTAATCTCCCCACACAGCCTTCAAAAATCATGTGAAATTTACAGTGCAAAAGCTGTTTAAAATGCCTTGGTCTAGAGCAAGATATCAAGAAAGTAAACAAAATAGATGTGTACTGTTTCAAGAGACACTTAAGCAAGCATTAGAAAGAAAATTAGAAGGGAATTGGGTTCTGTAGAGTGGAGCTGAGCTGCAGATGATTCAACAGGCTCTGTGCCAGCAGTAACAAAAGCGCTCTCTGCTGGAGCAGCACAGCTGGAAAACCTGCAAACAGCCTTTACAGAAACACTTTAAAAAGAATAGGTTTTCAAGGGGGAAGCAGTTTTTCATTACTATTGCCAAAGATCATGGTGACACAGCTGCCAGAGATACAGGTTCTTTACAAGGATCCAAGAGCCATGCATAAATGTTCCTGTGAGAACAAGCCACTAATGTAGGCAAACCTTAGATCTTGTACAAACCCCACTATCCCTAAAATTCCTATTAAAACAGTATGTTTTAAACTAGTCCTTGCCATTACCAACCTTGTAATTGCATTAAATAATGCAACTCTGAATCATTTCAGACAATGTATAAACTCTTAGTCTCACAGAATACAATTTTATCAATCCTAAGGAAGGGATTACACAGAAAGTGATACATTTCTAGATCAGAAGCCTAACAGAGAAACTTTTTTGTGTGTGTAAAAAAACCCCTTCTTTAGGTCTTCATTAAGTAGTAGTGATCCTTTCTGCAACAGAAGTGAAATTAGTCTCTCACATTACCTGGCCTGGTTCCTCAAAACATCCCTCACCAGTGTCAGAGAAGTCACTTTCTTAACAAAGCTGGACCATGTTCTGCTTCCAACAGAAAGACTCCCCGGTGACTTCTGCTGTGAGCCTGTTGCTGGCAGGGCTGTTTGTTTGGTGGTTTGGTGTGAGGAGAGTGTGTTAATCCTCCCCTGAGAAGTGCTGTGGTATAGGTTTCAGTCCCCATTACAATTTCCTGGGGTTACCCTGTATTAATACTGTATTTGGTTTTGTATCAGTCCATCTGCAGCAAGAAACACAGGGTGGGAGAAGTTATGGGAAGGGATGGAAAATCAGGGTTTGCTCCTTAGAACAAGTTTACTTTGTTAGAAGACAAGAAAATACAGAGTTTTTGTGCTGCTGCTCACAGCTACAGCAAAGCAAATACATCTTTGTCTTCTGAAGCTACCAAGACTAAAGCATTCTAAAGATGAAGACCACTTCATCTTCTAAATGAAGAGCCTTGATAAAATCATTTGATAAGGACTAAAAATGCTTATCTCCTTATCTCCATTCATTGAATTCATTGCATTCTTACATCAACTAAGCTCCACAGGCACAGGCTTCCTGAAAATTCCTGCTTTTTTCAGAAGTGCCCTGAAGAAAACAGTTCAAAGGAACCAGCAGCACAAACCCATTCCAATCTCTGCTGTGACTCTGCCTTCCAGCCCCAGACAATCTTTGCACATTTCTAACAGTGACACAAATTCTGTGGACTCCTCTGAAGATGATGTTCCTTTTGGTCTGATACTCTCAGCATAAAGAACTAGCTCACTGCAATCTTTATCCCTCCATTATTCCTGCTATTTATTGGTTCCTGATTATGACTTTTAAGAAGCAGCCCACTGCTACCAACATATTTGTCCCAGAACAGAACTACTCCCTGAGATTCCCATGTCTCACAGGAAGCTTCCTGTGCAATGAAAACACAGTATTTCTTTTCAGCAGTTTTCTGTCAATATTTTTTGTACAAAAATCCTGCTTCTGCTTCAGTCTTGACATTCTGAGACAGCCACAGCCTGCCCAGCTAATCACTGCCTCTTGCTACATCATTTGTTGGACTTCACCTCAGTCAGTGCAGCCAGAACATGCCTTTGGCAGTAATGGAATCAGATTTCTTAGCAAGGTGCCTCCATTTGCTCAAGGGTTTTCTAATCACATCTTACACTAGTGTTTTTGAGAATTCATTTCCTCTAACATTTGCCCTCCTGTGAATTACACAGGGGTTGGCATCTCCTCCTGAGCATGCCTGGACAGCCGTTCCCACTCAGCTGCTGCAAGAGCAACTGGCCTGTCAGCAGTGCCCCTCTGTAGGGCACTGGAACCACCATGGCTGTGCCCAGGCCTGAGGTCCTGGGGATTGTCCAGCACTGGGAAACAACCTTTCAGATTCTTCCAGTCTAACAAGCAGTTGTGGCTGTCCCTAAACAACATTTCTCAAAATGGAAATGCTGCACAGCTGTAGCCATTGCCAGGGTCCCTTTCACCCGGTACAACCATTTATCCTACAAGAACACAGAGCTCAGCTGTAATCATCTTCCATGCTTTTAAGACAGTGCTGCATTGTTCTCACATCCAATCCACACCCAAAGCAAAAGCACAAACATCTGTGACCAGTGGCCAAAGGGGCTTGGATAAAATGAGCAAACTAAGACACATGAACAGGAACAAGAACCTTTCAAGCCTGAGAAGAAAAAGACTGAAAGCATTGCATCTTTTTGTCCTGATTCTCTAAGATTAGCAAGCTGGCAAAGGAGCTTCCTGTCACCAGACTGAGCCAGCACTGCACAGCTTCTCCTTCTCTCCCATGATAAAACCCCTCTTCCTGTGCTGGCTGCAGGTTCACATTAAATTGCTCTTTATGGAACACACTACATTTCTCTGGGCTTACTTTCATATTGGCTGCACTAAGCTTATCACAAACTATTTGTTAACAAATCAGCACTTCAAGAGCAGTGGTCTGCATCAAGAACAGGAACAGCACAGTAACAGAGGGATGCTTTGCCACAACCTCCCTGTCAGCTCTTCCAGGAAGGAGCACTGCCTGCCATTACCCTCACCATTACCTTTACGTTTATACTGACATGAACTCTTCTTTTCCAGATCATCCTGCATCTCCAGGAAAGCCAAGTACTGCAGCTGCTATTGTGCCACCATCTGAAGCAATGCAGTGTGCTCACTGCAAATTAATTACATTCCAGACACTATTTTTCTGATTTTGACAAATTTTTAAGAGAATTTCCTCAAATCAAACCTGTATGCAATTTTACTGCCTTTTTCCCCCAATACACATAATGATTGTAACCAAATTTGATTCATCATAAAAACAGTAGAATGATGAGTTAAAAGAGCACTAATTTTCAGAGGCAATCTTCCCCATTTGTCAGCAAGGGTGAATGTTCACTATCACAGTCTTCCCTTGAAAGACAATCCAGGATAAACTGTTCTATAGTCAGAGATTTCTGAACATCTGAGCTATCAGTTTAAGCTGGTGTTTACTCACATTTCACATGTGTTGACAAATTTTCATTATTAGCTGCCCAAACCTGAAGAAAATTCTGTTTCTTGAAGTCTTTTGAGTTGCTTCAGAAGCTGCAGCACTGTACCACTTCTCTCATCATCTCTTTCTGAAGATGCACTGAAGCATCTCTACCAAAAAACTTCCAGTTACAGAACCAATCTATCCAGATAATTCAGCTTCACACAGGCTCTCACAACCTTGTTTCAGATGTCTTACTTCAGAAAAAGGCAAAGAGTTTTTGTGCCATTTCTCCTGGACAAGGAAGCTGCCGTGGTCTCTGCTTACCATGAAGATTCCCTCAACCTGCAAAAAATACAATTAACTGTTCTTCTCTCAAGCTAGACAGTCTGGTTTTCTCCTTGGAAAGTGAGTATCAGATGGTGTTAACTTCAAGAAAACTGGATACTGGGTATATCATATGGTCTGAAAACAAAAGGAGCAATTGGCAGGATAATTTCCTGAGCTGCCCAGTGGAATAGCAAAAAATAAACAGACAAAAGCCTCCTTGGTCACAGCAGTCATGGAAATGCATCCTATCTCCAGAGCTGGTGACATTAACCTTCAGCTGCAACACTCTTCAAGGAGCGCTGCACTAGCAAAGACAACTATTGTAAGACTCAAAAATGCAGCTGGAGTATTTTGAGAAACCCTCAAAATAGAGAGCTGGCACTCCACAAGCTTTGCCATGACGTATCCCTCATCCTGCAGCTTGCTAGGACAGTGGCTGGTATCTGGGTTTGCAATAGGAAAGGTGGGCACAGGGAGCCCTCAGCTGTGTCAAATACCACAGCCCCACAGCCTGTGAAAGTGGCAAGGAGCAGTTGCAGTCTGTAGGTAGACAAGGATCCAGAGAAAGCATTATCACACTGCCAAGGCTAGAATTGCATAACTCATAACTTCTTAACAACTTCATATATTCACTGAAAATGAATACACTTTTCTATATTTTGAGGTTTAAAAAAATCTCTTAAAATCACTTAAAAATATTAACATCATATTAGCACATATGTATACAGAATGTGCTCTGCCAAAGTAAAGCTAGTCCAAGACAGAAGGAAAACAGAAAACAAAAATTTTTACATTAACAATTTAACCACATGAATCTCTATTAGCAGGCACTAATCTCACTGCAGATTTTCTAAGGCACAGAATCTTTATCTGAAAATATACAGCAACCTTTTCTCCAATCCAGTACAAGCTGGTACCTGCTGGTACCTTGTCATATACAGACCCAAAACCCCATTCAGCATCATACCACAAATGCAGCATATACTAGCTAGCACTTTGAGAAGAATACCAACTGTTAGTACTGAAATAAATACAATTTGGCAGCAAAGACTCTATCACAGCTTTGTCATAATTTTTGTCCACATAAATATCTTGATTCTATTTTCTGATTCAGGAAGAACACTTTACATGCTTCAATTCTCCCTCCATCAGTTAGTCTCATGTTTCACTGATGAACATACCATAACATTAAAATAACTGCAAAATATTAAACTCAGTTTTAGGTCCATTTTTTTTTTTCAGTTTGTAGTTGTGTATTTATTTGAACAAAAAAGCCCTGAGGAATCTGTTAAGTCACATATCAGTGAATGGCATATAATACAGAATTCATTGCTCCTATTCACCAAGCATGCAATGCAATATTTATTCCACAGATGTTTAAAAATGTAGTTTTATTCCAGTGACTATTTGCAGTCTATACATATATTTAAAAACAACATTATGTGAACATATCACAGACCAGTACCTAAAAAATCTTTAGTATATACTCCTTTATAAAAGGTTTTGACACAATGGAAAAGTCAGTCCAGAAGAACGCACGTTACCAGGTTTCTTGATAAACAAAATATTATGAAGCCCTGTAACCTGCATGGGCACAAGTATCCATGGCAATGGATCTTTCATCTAAATCCTTGTTTCAAATAAACAGGTTTAAATTTTGTTCAGTTAACAAGTTCTACCACAACACTGTCCATTTAATTTTGTGCTTTCCAAAAGGCAAGCACACCACAGAAATAAAATTCCCTACCCGAGAGAGAAATGCAGTAAACATGTATTTGTTTCCCATCTCAGCAGAGGAATCCAAGTTCCTTGAAATTGTCATTATGCCTAAATCCAAAACACCCTGCTTATACCTTCTTCTTCTTCTTCTTTGCCTGTTCTCCAGACTCTACTTTACGTTTCTTAGCAGAAGATGGTTCCTCTTCTTTTTCACCATCTTAAATAAAAGAAAAAGTTAATCAAGATCAGCAAAGCCAGTTTTTTGTCTTAAACACCATCCTGTCTTAGAACAACTGACTTAACCACATCTGAGATGGCTGGAAAAAAGACACTGTAGCATTAACTGACAACATCCTCATTTTTGGAATGCAAACAATATGTGTACAAAATAGGAATGGTTGCTTCTTATCACTGCCACAAACCACTGCAGGTAACTGAAAAGAGGCTTTATGCTACTGTACAGTACCTGTTCTAAAAAAAATTGTTACTTGACTAGCTAACAGAAAAAGCTAGAAAATGATATTTTTGAAGCAGGAAATAATGTCAAGATCAATTAACATTTTACCTTCTTCCTTTGGATGAAGGCTGACTAAGAGAAATGCATGGACAGGGAAAACATAGAATACATGGAGAAAGACATAAAAACTGCTACTGGGAAAGAACACCCAGAACCAAAAAACAGGCAAGACAGCAAAAAAATCCTTCTTTTGGAAAAGCTTTGTTCACAACTTTAGCAAAGCATGAAAACACTGTGTTCTGAAAGCTCAGAATTTCTTCTTCTGGTTCTGTTCTCTTGGTTATTGCTATTCTCTTTCTCCAGCAATTAAAAACAAAAAAAATCCACCCACCTATCATTTCTTTACTACCTAAATTACCATTACAGCTTGTACCATAGAAAGTGAACAGGATAGTAAATATTTTCTTCAGTAATCTGTCCCATGGACATCCTATTTGATTCCTCTTTTGGACCCCAAGTTTTGCAAACGTTATAGAAATAACCTGACCTACATCTATAACTAAGGTCAACACCTTAGCGTAAAGCACCTGAAGCTTTTACACCACCTTCTGTTATAGTAGCATCATGAATGAACCTGTTGGTTTCATAGAACTACAGTGCCACAGACTCTAATGCTTCCCTGCTACTGGCAGAGGGGGAGAGGAGTAGAGGGGCTGCTCGAGGGTCTGTGTTGAATCCAGGAAAGCCCAACCACCGGCACTGCAGTGCCCCCACCCCTGCAGCCAGAGCGCTCTGCCCCTGGGCAGCGGTGGAGCAGGAGAAGCCGGCAGAGCTCCCTCGGGGCCCAGGGCAGCGCCCGGAGCCTCCCTCCGTGTGAGGCACGGCCGCCTCAGCCAGGGCTCACCCGACTCCAGGGCCTCACCCGACTCCAGGGGCTCCTGCTCCTCGTCCGGCAGGAACTTGGCTTTGCCGGCCTGGCGGGGCGCGTCGTCGCCATTGTCCTCGTAGATGTTGGACCACTTGATGGCCATGTCGAGAGTGGGGGCCGGCGGCGGCGGCTTCTCGGGCGGGCTGTAGGTCTCCGGGGGGGGCACGGCGTTGCTCCTCCACACCTTGAACTCCCTGGGGGGCTGCGGGAGAGAGCAGAGCGCCCGTCACGGCGGCCCGGGGAGCCCGTGGCGGCCCCTGCGCCGCCTGGGTTCACCCCGCGCCCCACGCACCTCCTCGGGCGCCCGCAGGACGCGGCTCTCCCAGTCGATCTCCTTGTTGAGCGGGTTGTAGAGGAAGGCGGGCGGCTGCGACACCCGACGGAAGAGCTCGTCGGGCGGCGGCAGCCGCGGCCGCCCCGGGGTGCCCCCCGAGGCAGCAGCGGCTCCCGCCGGGCGCTCGTCGGGCTGCGGCTCTTCGGGCTCCGAGTCGGAGCTGGAGCTGCCGTAGGCCGCGAAATAGCCCAGCGGGTCCTCCCCCTCCGCCGCCATGGCGGGGCCGCGCCTCGCACCGCCCGCGGAAACCGCGCCCGCGCCGAGGGTTCCGGCCCGCGGCTGCTGCCGGCCCGGGGCCGCGCGGGGCTGGCGGAGCGGAGCCGCGGCGGGCGGGGAAACGGGGCCTGAGGGCTCCCGCCGTGCCAGGGGGCTTCCCTTCGAGTGACCAGAGAGCGAAAATCAGACACGAAACCGAGCCAACCTTCATTTCTCCCTTTCCACACCTGCAGGCTAAGCGGAGGGAAAACACGTTTTCCTTAATGTCCGACCACCGGCTAACCCAGGGCAGGCACAGCGCTGATCATCACTGCTCCAGGAGGTATCTTTACCAAAACATATTTTTCAAATTTGTTGGACCAAGTTTGTACTAGACCTCTCTTGTGATTGACTCATACACACATTACTGCATCAGCTAAAACACTGGTGCTGTTCAAAGGGGATGGAGGGCAGGGCAGGTTGAGGTTGGGTATCAGGAAAAGCTTTTTCCCAGAGGGTGTTTGGGCCCTGGGACAGGCTCCCCAGGGCAGTGGTCACAGCTCCAGCCTGACAGAGCTCAGGAAGGGTTTGGACAACACTCTCAGGCACGGGATGTGACTCTTGGGGATATCCTGTGCAGGGCTGGGCATTGGACTCCCGGATCTTCATGAGTCCCTTCCAACTCAGCATACTTTACGATTCTATGTTCAGATTCCTTCTACTACCAGAAGCAGGATAAGATCTGAGGAAGGGGTTTTGGTTATACTATGATCACTTTCTTTACTGTAAAGATGCTAAACCATATCCAGCTGTAAGCCCTATACACAAAGTACAATGAAAACAGTCACTGAAGTGAGACACCACAGTGCCTGTGGCGTTTGCAAATCCTTCTTCAAGTCATGCTTCTCAGCACTCAAAGTTTTTGTTTCTCCCCTGCTATTAATAAAAATCTTAATTTAAGAATGAAATCGCTATGTGTGGTTGGAAGCAACTCTTCTCACATCCGCAGGAAGTTGAGCAATAGAGTCATTTGAAAAAAAGCAAGAATCAGGTTAATAATAGTAGTCATGAACTGCAGAAACTACTTAAGCAGCAGAGCTGTTGATTTCACATGCATGTTTTCCTTACAGACTGCTCTTGAGTGCAGTCCTACCAGCACAGGCGTTTCACATTAAGTCAGTCTTTCCACCAGACTTCTCTAAAAAGACAAGGAGAACAAAAGCCTCCCGCACACACAAAACCAAAACCACACACCAAGGTAATGGCATGAACTGCTCTTGCAACCTCTACATCTTAAAAATGAGAGAGGCAGACAGAAAAACAGGCAATTGTACAAAAGAATTTATTCCAAAAGTTGTGATAAAAATACGTTTTAAAAATGCACATTATAGACATTTGGAAAGACAATACATTCACTCAAGATCTCAGGTTTGCAGGCTCCACTGGGAGTGGTCCCTGCACACTGCACGGGGCAGGATGGGGAACAGCAAGGCAGCCTCCACCCTGAGCTGGTGCATTTTCTCTGTTAAGGCCAACCCTGCTCATTCTCTTCTCTACAAGAACCCAGGAAGGGACTCAAGCCTAAGCAGAGCTCTTTAAGTGGTTACATTTAGACAAATCACTTTCTAGACCTCCCAAGTACAGGCAACTACAATTCAAGTTAATGGAAGATAGGGAGTTCATCCTATCCTTAATTTCATCTTAAAGAACAAAGTTTGGCTTGCATATTTAGGCACTAAATTTCCAGAGTGCCATCTCATCTAAGCAGTTCCACTGAAAAGCATTTTCACTGCCTGGACACTATATGATTGTAGATGTAGACAAGAAAAACAAGGATTTTTATAAACACATCTTTCTCACATGTAAGATGTTCATATGCTCGGGATGGAGGGTAGTTGAACATTGCATTTTATTTTAATCTACTTCCAAAACAGAATAATTGTGAAAAACAATTTATAGAGACTAACTGAGGTCCTGCAGGTGGCCTGTCTCCACAAATGGAGAACAGTTTAGTAATATTACCCCAGTGTGCACTGGAATGGTATTCCATGGCTATACACACTATGAGAGCCAAAATAATTGAGGACCTTAAATACAAACCTACCCTTTGATATACTGAAAACATCCCATCACTTTAAAGTGTAGTACTGCAGAACACAGTTGTACTCATGTCAAATTAAGAATGCACCAGGTCATTTTGAAATTATTATAGGCACCTGCACAAAAGGTAGGCTACAATTCCAGTGTGAGAGGAATACAGTGTGTTACATGGTGGCAAGAAATGAGAACCTTCCCATGTTGAAAAAGAATGCATTTGACTCTAAACAATTTGAAATGTAAACCTGTCTGTCTGCTTTGAAGAGGAGGGATTTGAAGTGCCATATTTCCAAGAGTCCTTCAGGTACAGATACTTTTGTGTCACACAGCTTCTCCTCCACTTCCCTAGTGGGACAAAGCATACAGTAAGCTTTGCTCCTTAACAGCATCCTACAATAATGTGTTCTTACAGCCCTCACAATGCCATTAGAGCAGTTTACATTCCTTTTCCAGTACTAAAGAGAATTTATATTTAAAGTGCATCTCAAATCTGGAATCTTAAACTAATATACAAGAAGAAGAGGCTGAGGCCTGCAGAAGTGTATTTGTGATACTGATGCCTCTTGATGTACCAGTAGGACAAAGTTCACACAAGGAAGAAACTCCTTGCTAATAAGCATGATTTGGCCAGATTTGTGAGGATTTTTGCAAATGGAGCAGCACACATATACACAGAGAGCAGAATTTATCCTAGTGAGAAACATTTAACTCAGTTAATGTTTAAGATTTTTGGTAAGTAAGCTTAAGTTTTTAGTTCAGATTTTTTTCCATATTCAGTACTTTTCCCAACCATCTTTCCCAGTTCACCCATCACAGAAACATTAAGAAAAGCTTATTTATTAGTTTCTGCAGAAAGAAAAAACCCATTTGTTCTGTAATTCCAGCTAAAGTATCTGCTGGTGTGAAATCTCATACACTAAATGTGAAATCTTATTGGTTTAAAAAACAAACGTTTGTTGGTGTAACACCACAATATTTTGTACAAAGCTCCCTAAAAACAAAACAAACAAAAAAAGTCAAGCAGCACCAGCATCACACAATTACAAAATTAAAACAGAAATTGCATAGATTATTTCCTCCAATTTTCCTAACAGTTTGAAAACATTTTTTAGCTTTTATGAGCCATCCCACAAAGTTTCAGTACCATTCAGATGAACAGAGGAAAGTCACCGCGTTCACTGTGGCTGAACAGAACGTGATCTTAAAGGCAAAAAGCAATTGTCACTTGAACTAGTGCATGGCTCCTGCTGGTCTGCCTGCAGCTCTGGGGGCAGCGGGGGTGCCCCTGGCTCTCCAGGCCCTGGGAGCGTGGCTGAGAAAACACTGCACTGTGAATTTCCCATCTCTGCAATTGGCAAATTCATTGAATGAAGAGAGACAGCAGACACAAATGCGGCAGTGCTATAATCTTCTTCTGGGTGATGTATCTGGGTAGATTCTTTGTCTTTTGTTTTATCCAGAAAATTTGATTCATCAGAAAATGATCTAGAAAGATTATTTGTTCCTCCGTACAGTGAGGTCATACAGGTGCTGCAGCTTAAACCTAAGACAAAAAACCAGATACTGGATTTAATTACAGTATGAGGACATCTTAAACTGTGCTGTGATTTAATATCAGTAAGACTGTCAAAAATCAACTGTCCATATTTTTAACAGGCTAACCCTTCATCTCACCTGTGACATCCAGAATTCCTGACAAAATAGAAAACAAACATGCAGGTTAGGTAGGCTGATATGAATGGTTTCTCTGTACTCAGTACCAGATAGTACTTGACAAAAATGCACTGTAACTTAAAGGTCATTTTAGAAAGTCACTTTAGCCCTTTGGCCCAACTTTTTTTAGATTCTTCTCACTGTGTTCTTCAAACTTTTAAGAGCTTAAGCTGCTGGTTCTGCTCCAACATGGACAGCATTTAAGGGTATTTTACCTGAAGCCAGAGCAAACCTCAGGCCCTTCATCTCTGTGGTTAAAACATACTTCTTCCTTCTTTATTTGCCTTTTGATGGGCGTGGAAGGGGAAGTAACACTTTTGGTGTAGAAAGCCTATACTTTCTTTCTCTGCCTTAAACTATAAGTACACACAGTCACTTCAAGGTTTGGGTGTCAACAAAACCTCTAAGCCTGTATGGAAAAACACACACATGTATTTACAGTGTCTGCTTTAAAGCTGTGGCAGTGAAGGCATAAGGGGAACTCCCCTCAAGCTGCATTTGCTTGCACATCTTCTGCTGAGACACAAAGTTTAACTAAACCAGAGCATCCTGCCCCTGCAGTAAACAGGTTGAAGAAATATGCAAGATGGAACATAACCACCCATTTTTGAAAAGCAAAACTGAAATGTGGAGACAGATTTATCCATCATAACAATACAACAGAGGCTTTTTGCTAGTTGTTATTTGTGATGGATGTGTTCAGATAGTAAAAAGGTAAAGCCAGGATACATGCACTAGGATCTTAAATACAAACTGGTAATATTTCCAAACGTGTTGTTCCAAATACCAGAGGAAGGGTTTCGTTTTGGATTTTAATTTTGCAGACCCTCCAAATAAAACCTATGTCTTACACAACATTATTAAAAACTTGTTACCTTTAAGAGCTTCCAGCTTTTCATTTTTGACTTTCAGCACTACATCAGTTATCTTTTGTAACAGGAAGTTTTGTGTTCTTTCTCGTCTGATAGATTCAATCAGAGTATCTAGTCCCTTTGGGTTTTCTGCTAAGTAGTCCAATAACTTCCCAGCTTTTTTCCTACTGGAAGATCGAGCAGAAATTTCTTCTGTGTCCTCCCTGGTGAGTATTTTCTTGGAGCGCAGGTAATCAAAGTGTCTCTCAGCTATGATCTTATCACACAGGTAAGGACGCATCCTTTCTAAAGCCTGAAAAGCAAAACAAACTGGTATGAGCCAACATTTCAAATTATTTG